CCTTGTCATCATCATCATCAACATTTCACTCTGTGCCTGTGTCACTTGCCAAGTGGCTGTTCCGCATCACAAGGGCTCTATTTAAAAACAGTGTTATACTGTAAGCCCCAGTGCTGTCGGAAAGAGGAACAGAGAAGTAAGTAGCTGTCATTGTCTCTCACGCTTTTTAACTGAAATTGTGTAATGGAGGAGGAAAGAAAAATGAATTGTAGTTACAAAAGGCCCTTTGTTTGAAAGCTCTGAACTTCCAGGTTTCTACCTCTGTTTCCCCAAAATAAAAGAATTCTCGGAGTGTTTCTCTTCTAATCAGTAATTCATTCCTAAATCTTTTCCAGAGTTGGCCCTGAACAGAGTGAGCGGCACGAGGACGAGCGTGGCGTCCCGGGGCCTGCCGTCCCATTCGTCATCCTCCCCTCTCTTCCTCTATTTGGTCAGGTTTCCACCTCACCCAACTCCACTTTCTTCTTCTGCTCCTTAAATCAGAACTCCGCCTCCTTGCTTCTTTCCACACCTGTCTTCTCGCATCCGCTTTTCCTTTTCCTGTTCTTCCCGCTCCTTTCCTTTGCCCTCAACTCATCATGGCATCCAAGCTGAACCCCAACGTCCTGTATGTGGCAGAGCCTGGCGAGTCGCTGGGGACACCCCATGCAGACTCTGAAAGGACCCATATTGTAAGTACTGCTCAGTCTATTGTATCCTTCAGTCTACTCAAATATGGTGGAATTGCTAAAGGAAATGTCTAAATTCTTTATTATAAACCACTACAGTTTCATTTTGACTGAAATGATGGTATAGTGTTACATAAAGTGTATACTTTATGGTGCCTGATTCCATATAATGCTCACTCTCTTCAAGAAATGTTTTATAAGCACAGGCCGTCTGCCCTTTTGCCTTTACACTTCAGCAAAACTTTAGAATTTTGTACTTTTGAAAATGGAAGTGCAGTCGATTATACATAATCTCAGCTGTTGTTTTATATTTAACAGTCAAGATTTATAGTGCTCTGGATTCTTTTACTCTCTTGTCCTCAGTATTTTTATTTGGGGTCCTTAAGTGTAGTTTGGATTTTATTCTTTACAGTTAACATAAAGGAGAGAAAGCTGAACCAAAGCACCACCACTTTTTAAGAATGTGTGCTGGGTGGTAAAGACCTTGAAAGTCGGTTATTCAGTGCTAAAGGGTTCCAAATGTTGTATAATAGGAATATCTGGCTGTTATCTTGCTTAGATGTTGAATCTATTCCCTCTCAACTTTCAGGCTGGAGAAGCTGGAGAAGAGTCATCAGACAGCGACGGAGAACAAGAGGAAACCTCGCACAAGCTGATCCGCAAAGTGTCGACCTCGGGACAGATCAGAGCCAAGGTAGGAAAAGTCGTAGAGAAAGAGAACGTGTGTGGGTGGGAATATAGCCTCTGTACTGTTTTATTCACTGAACAGGGCTCCCAGTGGTTGAGCCTATGGATTGTCAATGAACTTCGACAGTTTTGTGTTCAGCATAGGAGACATTAGGAAAACTGGCTAAAATGTCAGGTAATATCAGAGTTCCGTTCCACTCCATCTTGTATTATAGATGTTGGTTTTCAGCTTTTTTGACATCTTTATGTTCTAGCCCTTTTGAGAGCTTTTTCTGAACTTTATACATATTTAAACAGGACTTCATTAAGGCAAAATGCAGCATTAAAGAACCAGGGAGGGATTTTTAAGTCAGTGGTCAAATGCTCTAAATTTTGTTATGGAAAGTCTTGTTTTTTAACAAGGCCACAGTGGGAACCATGATTACAACTGTGAGAGTCAATATAAAATTTAAGCATCTTACTGATGAATGGAAATGTGTGTGTGGATTTGAAGCTAGTTGAAGAACATCTGCTTTTATCTAATGCTGGACACACTTTTCAAGGGGATTTAACTCCTTGTGTCTTTTCTGTTTGATTGTCTGTCTGGTGTAACTTTATGAACACTTAAATCAAAGCTGTGATCTTGTCGGCTCCTCATTTGAATCGACTGAGGTCAGCTGACTTCCTGCTCAGGCCTGGCCACTTTCTGTTGGCATCATTTAACTCACTTACGTCAGGTCTCAAATCTCTGAAACTCAATGTGGCATACAGTAGTAACAGCTTCCTCTCTTACTCTCTTATTGGCCACAGAGACTGATGGTGTAATACTGGCCTTTACTGGCAAACACACAAGTCTGACTCATTAGTTATTTATGCACTATAAGAAGTGCATTTTTTAAGTGCAAAACACGTATATGATAACTGTCCAAATTATCATATGCATGTGTTTTGAAATCTATTATTTGTACTCAACTCTAAATTAAACTTCAGGAGACATGGGATACCTGGCAAAGCCCGTCGCCATGGGGATGAAATCCCATAATGCCAGGTTTGCCTATGGAGCTTATAATGACATTGGATATCAATCTGGTATTGACTGCCTAATCTAATCGGACATTGCTATAATGTGGTGTATCTAGTGGGGTGTTCATGCACATTTATGGGCATAACAACACCCTAGCTGGTTGCCATGGTTTCAGGGTCAGAGAATTATGGGTAAAAGCCGGGACCATAATAGTGTTTTGACCTCTTTTTAATGTGATATGTTTATTTTATATCAAGTAATCCAGTAAAAAATTTAATGATTTTCATTATTTAATAATAATGTAGTTAATTTACATATATTTGCATTTCATGTTAATATATCGATAAAATAAATATAAAAAAGGATATAGATGAGAAAGGATAAAAATATGAATTTTAGTTTTTTGAAGATTGTCATTATTTTTTAAGATAAAGCTAAAGATCTGATGGTTCCATGTTCTCTGAAATGTAAGGATTTACTGCTTTTTGTATTCAAGTCAATTGAATTTTTTCTATACTGTTGCTTTGTGCTCAAATAAACTTTCTTCATTTGCAGCCTGTTTAAATTGAAAATTACAGCCAAAATGTGATCAAAATTTGGATCTTAAGTTACAGTTCCAAAGAGATGACTCTATGATTTTTCTACAAAAAGTTCTATACACCTTATTGGGTGTAACTAACTTTCGTGGGTGAGAGACCGTCTGGAATAGTTTTAAAAACAGGAGGCAGTTCTTTATACATGACAGAGAAGTTGTAAGTCATCATTGGAAAAAGAGCATTCAATCCTCAGTTTCAGTGCAATGATGCATTTCTACTGGTCGAAAGGAGCCACAGGTAGCGATGGCTAAAGATCTTGGATTGTGTGTCTGTTGATTACGTTGTGTGTACTGACAGTCATGAGACTTAGGTTAAGCTTTGTCGTTCGCTTTTTTCCTTTGTGTACATGTAGGTGAGTGCTTTTGTATGTGTGTGTTTCTTCACCACATATGTGCTAAAATGCCTTATAATACATGTATTTGGGGCACTTAGGTTAAGCTTTGTCGTTCGCTTTGTTCCTTTGTGTACATGTGGGTGAGTGCTTTAGTATGTGTGTGTTTCTTCACCACATGTGTGCTAAAATGCCTTTATAATACATGTATTTGGGGCTGGATGTTTGTTTTTCCTGCTAAATACCAGCAGGGCACGTTTGCCACTCAGCCCTCATTCATGCCTCGCCTCATTTTCTACTCTGCCTGTTACCCTGCTTGTTAGATCTGCAGTCTGCTGGCGCACTTGTTAAGGAGGTGCTAATTCTTATCAGTTGTGACATGACATCCTGACACTGTTAGATTAATTCGCTTCCTCAGTAGTGAGCCTGTAAATAGTTAAAGAGATGCAGTGATAGCCCTCAAAGACCCGCCGTGTCATTCCCACTTTACTCTGGAGACATTCATGTAATTAAATTGCTTTTTGATACTGGGGCAGCAAATTTGATTTTTCTAGAACACAGGCCCATTGAAGTCGCCAACTATTTGAGATTTCATGACATCAGGTGCATTTTTAAGCTTTTGTGGTTTAGGCTAAATTTATTTGGTAATGAAACTTGCTCTGAAGCATGAAATGCTCACACTATAAATGTTTTGCTGTCATTTTTAAGTCTGCTCTATAATTAAAACAAATCTGCCCTTGGAGACTTTGCTAATTGGTCGACTCTGTAACGCTGTAGATTTTGCTGACTAGACTGGATTTCAAAGCTGATGGAGATTGATCTACAGCGGCTTGTATTTTTGTTTTGTTATCACTGTGAAAATCAGAGTTGTTGACCTGTTTCTGTGGAGGTTGTAAGAACTCAACCCATACTGCATGGAAAATGAGACACGTGTCGGACACCCTTAACATCAGTGTGTTAAATGATGTCAAATGGATTGTGTTGCATTACGCAGCAGCAGTGATGCGTTGTTGTTTTTGTCACTAATGTTGCAGCTGGTAAATGTGGAGCTAACGTATAGTTACACTGCTGGTTGGTTGTGAATTTACCACTAGGGATCAGTAGGCTCTTATGATTATACTGTATTTTATGTTGTTAATGTGGTTCTGAAAAGTAACTCGTAACTAAAGTTATCCAATAAATATAGTAGAGTAAAAAGTAAAAAAAACAAACTTGCCTCTAAAATGTTGTGAAAAAGTATGAAGTAGCAGAAAATGAAAGTACTTGAGTAAAGTACAGATGCTTCAAACTGTACTCAAGTGCAGTACCTGAGTAAATGTACTTAGTTACAGCAGCAGCATCTTTTGGAAGCAGTTGATCTGTGGGAAATTTGACATGTGATGTTAAATGTGAAAACATTTCTGCACACAGTGGTTATAATCTTCTGTGTCACAGGTCGGAGCGAAGACCTGTGCCATTTTATTCAGCTTTTTCTGAGTGACCTCTCTCTTTCTTTCTCTTAGTCTGTCCCTGTGTACCTCCAGGCTGAGTTACATAAGGTTTCACACTTGTTTTCTCTTTTCCTCTGTCCTCCTCTTCTCCAACCCCTTCCCCGTTTGCCTTGCCCTCATTTACCATTTGGAAAACAAGGGAGACATAGGAAGAGAATGAGGCAGAAGAGCAAACAGCTTCTGTGAATTGTGTGTGTGTGTGTGTGTGTGTGTGTGTGTGGCACCACCGCTGTAGCTTTGAGTAAGCCAATCATGCAAGCTGTAATGGACGTGCACCAAAAGTACACACACAGAAAAGGGCAGTCCCTTCATCATGTCTGTTTCTATGTGAAGTGGGGCACACGGTACATCCTTCCCTTTCTTTACCTCTCCATCTCCCAAAAGAAAAGAATAATTCAAAAGTAATTGAAAATCTATTTGAATTAAACACCAGCATCCTTTTCTTTATCATATCCAACATGTTTTCCTATTTTCATCTCATTATTTTTCCTGTTTTCTAGGACGTTTTTTTCTCATATTCACCTTCATGTCTTTTTTTAGACATGTGACGAATAAATAAATGTGAACTTTTTTCCTGCTTTCCAACCTGAAAGTTTTTGTTCTAAAGCATCAGTAACACTTTAGATTATATAACCAGTTATATTTCTGGCGTTTTGAGTGGTGACCAACAGGTAACACTTCTTTTTTTTTCCTGTTCCTGTGGATTTCCTGCTGGTGCTTTGGAAGCAAACCCACTATATTTGTTCTTTTTTATCTGCATCTCACTCTTGGTGCAGAAATCTGTGTGGGTGATAAGTGCAATGGAGATGAGGATGCATTATAGGTGTGTGTGTGTGTGTGTGGGACTGTAAACAGAAATGGCTCGAGGAGAGTGCATACATGTGTGGGATGGCCAGTGCTGTGTGTGTGTGTGTGTGTGTCCTTGGCTTGATATGATACAGCTGCAAATAGTGTGTGGATTAGTACTATGAGAGAGCGATGGAAAGGGATGAGCAGAGAGAAGCAGGGATGGAGGAAGAAGAGAGAATTAGTGAGTTGAAGACGGAGAACAATGGAGGCCGAGTGGAAATTAGCAGAGAGAGACAGATCCAGACTCAGTTACATAAGGAGGCCACACAACAAACAGCAGGATCTAATACCCTTATTTACCATCACAACAGGTTGCCTGGAGGCAGCTCGGCTGTTTAAGATGTTTTACAGTTGCTGGCACAAAGTCTGCATGAAACACATTGTTTGTGTCCTTAATGCTCAGTGTGTTTTCTGAAACATCTGAGAAACTTTGTGAATGTTTTGAATAGTCTGCATTTGCTTTCCTTCCTCCTCTTCTTTTTCTGTTTTTCTTCTGGTGCACTGCCCCCTTTTATAGCACTTTACTGTCACAACTGGTTGATATATGGAAATCAGTGGATGTCATAACGCTGCTTTAGGCAAACATGGAAAAATCTAAAATCTACATGAAGTATGTCCATATTAACCTAATTAATGCTTATTTGTAGCCTCAGGAATAGACTTGCTGAAATAACTGATGTATTGATTATGAAATAATGTCCATATTTTAGCAGTTTAGCAGAGAAACCCTTCTTGATT